AAGCTAATGTACGACAAGTTCACCATAACGAAATTTACATGTATACACCTAAATGGTTCAAACTCTATATATTATATGCATTTTGTGGCCATATATATTTATTGCCACACAATGCATTCACATAGTAACTCAGTTATTGAGCTTATGCTCTTTGCATAAATGCCTTTTTTTTTCTGCAAACGTGCTACAGTCAGCTGGCTTTTTGTTCATGTGCTTTGAGGTGATTTACAACTTAGAGATGTGGACTTTTATTTATTTATTGCATGACAGGACACTAACGAGAAGCTAAATTGCAGAAACAGCTGCAAAGCACACAAAGCTAGTTGTGAAGAACCCAGAGTGGTGTATGCAGTCTCCAGCCCAGGAGCCAGAGCCTGATTTTCAGTAGGTAACAAAGCAGTGATGAGCAGCCTTATTTCTACAGTAGAATCAGAGTGGTGATCACAGTGGAGTGCTCTTTGGATTAATATTAGAATGAGCAGTATAATAAATAATGTTTTGTCTAAGGCAGTACATGACCCTAATCCTATGTTTGTGAGAAGGCACAACTGGCATTTTGAAACAAATGTGAAGTTTTTGATGTGTCACTTGGGTTTTTTTTTTAAATTATATTTTTATTGAAGAAAAAAAAAGGGACTTGTTACAATAAAGTGCATTGACATTATTTAGTCAAAAGAAAAAAAAACAAAAAAACAAAAAAACCTTTTTCTTAGTCCTTTTGTTTTACGTTCTGATAGCAAAAAAAATAAGATTAACTCATTGGCTTGACAGTGTGTTACATAATGCAGCATGTTTAACTTGTTTACAAAGACTACATTAGGTACATATTATGAAGTTGAGGGTCAACCTGACATTGTACGATACATGGGAAATACACCAATTCAGGGCTGGTCTTACCTAAATTCAGGGCGGATGGGGGACACAAAGCGAATCCATTTATTCCATATTTTGTAGAATTTGTCTTTTCGAATTTTTAAAAAGAATGTCAATTTTTCCATTTTAAATATTTCGAAAACCACATTAAACCAATCCTCAAGTGTTGGCGGAGTTGGATTTAACCACTTTCTGATTATTGATTTTTTGCTGGTCGCTAATAGCGCTTGTAAGAGTTTTGTGTCCCCTCCCCGGACCGAGCCAGATGTGTTGTGTCACTTGGAATTAATATTTTTTTCATTCCCCCCAAGTTCAGATTTGGTCTTGGCATTTATGATGAGGTGGTGACCATCTGGCAATCACTGATCAGGAGAGAAAAATGTGTGTTCCCCAGCCAGTTGGCAGCTAACATGAAATTAAGTGCTAAAGCCATTTTTACTGTATATACTTATTTAGGCCTAGACAATGTTCAGTGACCCCCTGAAAACCACCAGTCTTGGGGAAAATGTATATTCTAAGACTGGTTGGTGATTGGTTGCAAGAGGTTGCTGGCAGTCGATAGCGTGATATCGGTTGCAAAGAAGTTAAGTTTGCTACACTGAACGCCTCCTTGCACTTGCATTGGTCGCTAGCAGATAGCCATGGTGTCCTATAGTTTGCATGGAAGACAGACTTTCTTTGAAAGCCACTGCAGGCATCAGTCTGTCAAATCCTATTCAGAATGTAAATATTCTGCTAGACGAGGCAATGGCTCATGTAGTTTGGCATTAAAATCTAGGAGAAGCTAGCTGTTTTATATGAACAAAGACAGTAGCATGGAGGCAGCTTGGCTCATGCTAACTGCTAACTGAAGCTTATCTTTCCATGATTAGTTGCTGTTGTCATGACAATTAACTAAAGACACCTAAGTGTGAATCTAGTCTAAGTTGTTAGATGCAAGATATTAATTGTTGAGATTTTTCAAACTAAACTGAAGAGGTGGTCAGCTCGACCAACATTAGCATACATGGAGCTACGCCATTGTTTCTACGCCATTGTCAAGCTAATATCTGTTGCTGTATTTTTGTAAAGTATCTTC